GCAACCAGAGGGCCTGATGCAAATGGGGGCCCTGAAGCTCAAACCATTAGCCTCTTGGCAAATCCACTTTGGCTGTTGGAGATGAACTAGGCATGGATTTCAGTTTAAGGGTAAAGAGAGCAAGGAAATAAAACATAAAGGGAAGGAAGTAAGGGAAAGTGAGGTTGGTAGCTTTTATCTGCTCCTATCTAGTACTATTTTCTCTAGCCCCTCCACTCTTGTCACTTAAGTTCTGACTCTGACCCTTGGATGAGTCTGGAAAGGGCCCACAACTGCTATTTCATGTTTGCACTACTCAAGAGATTAGGGGTTAAGTTAGTTGGTACAGAATTAATGTTTTACTTTTATTCAGTTTTATTTGTGACCAAAGATTCACACTGAGTGCAAAATTCTTCAAAGCAGCTAGAAATTTTTTTTTTTTATGATGCCAAACACTGTTCTCATTGGAAACCTGTAAAAAGAACCAAGACACTCTAGAGGAGGCCTACTGGCATGTTCTTATTAAAGGCACAATAATGAATGACTCCACCATGCTAGAAAATTCACATACTTCCATTTCTTCCTACAATAATTTTATGTCCTTTATGTATTTCTTACCCAAATCATGTCATAAAAACCTAGTAAATTCTTTTGTCCAAAATTTTTGGTTAATTTAGTTTGTGTTTTTTTCTACTGAGTTTGCCAGTTATTTGACTGAAATTATCCAACTGTTGTGGTTTTGCTGTCCAGCTTTAATGTATTTGTTTTCATTCAATCTAAGTCCTTTTTGATGTCACAGGTAGAGAACGAATTCTAGCTGGCTTATGCAAAGTTGAGAGGACATTGGCTTCTGGAATCCAAGTGGGGATGGGATTCCCTACAGCCATTTCCCTACAGTCCAAGAGAAAAGGTGGAGCTAAGCACCAGGGCACAAACATTGACAAACCCAAGAGACTCTCTTTGTCTCTATTTCTACTGATCTCCATATGTATCCTGAAAAAAACTTAAAAAAAAATGACTCAAATGTTAGATCTTAAGACTTTAGCTTAGAGAGAGAAAGAGAGAGAGAGAGAGAGAGAGAGAGAGAGAGAGAGAGAACACTCTGATAATTTCTGTGTCAAATAGCAAATGTGCTAGTAAAGGATGTAGTCCAATTTAAGTCTCGTGTATGCTTGTGGACCAATTGATTGTGATACTAGGGGTTTGGATGCTCAGATTATCCCATTGTTTATGGTGTGTCAATTCTCGATGAAACAACTGTGCTTAGGGTGGCAGTTTCATGCCGGAATATGATAGAAATGTGGCTGGATGTGCACTGCAGTATCATGGAGAGAGGAAGATAAATCATGAAAATAATAGTGAGGATGCTGGACAGATGATCATATAAATGTCTGCTACACTTTTTCATTGATATTATAACAATATTTCACCTTTCCTTTTCAGTTAGAACTTACTTTCCTAGTACTTTTTTTGCCATATTACTTCAGATAAATGCATTTTAGATTTAAAATATATTTCCAGACAATTTGATTAAGATTTTAGTTAAAGGATATTTTTAAAGGCAGAGGAGGGTTTCTTAGATGGTAAAGAGTAATTAATATCACATGCATTAAAATGGTGACAGCGAAACTTTCAAGTCACCTAATCCCATTCTACAAACTGCCCCCTTAGCTATATTGTTTTCTGGTTATTATTTGTGTCAATTTTTTGATTGGCTTGATGAATAAAAGGGAATGTGATATAAATGCCTTACTCTCCATTACTAAAATGAAGGGTTTCTATATGGTTTTCTTATTATTACATCTTTTGAGTCCCACTGAGAAAAATGGAAATCTATTATAGGATCATATACAAATTGAAATCAATTTAATTTTTGTATTGTGTACAACACTCTTATAAAGCATATAGCTAATATTCAGGTAAATTAAGACACATCAGCCTTGCCTTTATCTGGGAAAATGCACACATTTCTCAACAACTTAGACATTTATTTCTAACATATATTGAGCCTAAACGTGCATAACTAATTATGCCAATTTGGGGATTACTTTTAATTTGCATAATATATTCCAGAACCTCGTGGAAAGAAATGATAGATCACTTGAGAACTGGAATAAAGAAAATGTATGTTGTCATTTGGTGAATGAGACTTTACCCACAATTGGCAATTTCTTTCTTTCCTTTTTTAAAGTAATCTTTTTAAAAATGATCTTGGCTGAATTAAGACACAGATTATGGGCATATAACATTTAAGACCAGTTATGTCAGGAAAATTAAAGCTTGGAAAAGAAAGTCTTGAATCTTTATGTAATGCCTTAGGGTTTTTCCTGGCCTAGAGTAATGCAAAATATCCCCTGTTCTAGCACTTTAAAAAGTAAGAGCTACATATTTTCTGAAAGAGCTAATCACTTGCTAGATAAGGAAACAACTCTTAAGATTTATTCCCAATATGCAACCTGAGAAGAGTAGCAGATGTTTAGTTGGGGAAAAGACATTATTTTAGCCAAGAAATGTGATCCTACCAGCAGATAGCAGCTTGTAGATTCTTAGGAAAATTTTTGCCAGTGAGGTGTAAATTAGAAACTGTGAATGTCACGAATGGTAACAAAAGATAATATGATAGATATAACTCTTGTGAGTGAGAGATTAGAGTCTCAAATAGGCCACAGGAAGGTAGTGAATTCTCATCTGGAAGACAAGGAATTTTTTGACAATTAGAAGACTAGTTTCTGGGAAATTGAGATTTCTGACATTGCAGTGTTACCAGGTATACATTTGGAAAACATTAGACAGATACTAGAATCCAGGAAATACTAGCCATTTCAATAGAATGTTCCCCAGATTTATTTCCTTTAATTATACCCATGTTAATTTAATTTTTCTTTGCCTAACATCTCAAGTTGTTTAATAATGAAATTCAATCAAGGCTATGAGTTTTCCTCTAAATAAAAACTTGGCTGAATTCCCTAAATTTGATATGTAGTTCTCATTACAATTAGCTTCTAAGTATTCTGTAATGACAATTTTGATTTTGTCATCAACAGTTAAGACTCTTATGTATTTGTATTTTGTTTTTCCTCTAGGTGAATAGGTTTATTTTCCATATGGTTAGACTTATTTTATGCTTAAATTTAATATTAATTTTTAGTTTCAGAATATTGTTCTCAAAAATGTTGACTAGCATAACTTTTTGAACATTTATTGAGATGTTATTTGTAACATAATACCATGATTTTCAAATACGACTTCAGTTTTCCTTAAAATCTGGATAAACTAAAATTTGTCCTTCATAATACAGGTTCAGTTTTCTGCACTGTCAGTTATGTTGTTTATATCTTCCAGTGTGGATATCAGTTTTGTCAGTTTCTGTACCATTCTTCTTTATGTCTTCCATCTCCCTTTTCAATTGGTCCTGTTGTCTTTCTAAGACCATGTGCTAGTATTTCAACAGTCTATGGTTTTTGTATCTATAAAGAATCAAAAATATTTTTGATTTTTGTTTCCGGATTGTATATCCAATCATTTTCAAAGGTATGCTTTCTCGAAGACTTCTATATACTATTTTCTGTTTCTTGTCTTACAAAATATGTTTATAGATATCACTTTGCTTTTTCTTCTATGCTTATCCTCAAGGCAAAATCTGAAAAGCATTAGAGATTTGTAATTGGATTGTACTTGATCCACCTTCTCTTCACTTGTGTGATGGCAGATCTACAGCTAGATGTCAAGTTGACAAGCATAGTTCAGTGTCTGATTCCCAGTTTTTGGTAAGAGTTTACCTAGTGCATTTAAGCTATAAAAGGTTGACATTTCTTGCTCATTTGGAACATAGAAAGCTATAATATCTGCAAAACACTAGTGCCAAACCTCTTTTATTTTCTCCAGTGTTTTACCTGTAGGGATTATTTATCACAGAATAGACCATAACCTGTGTCCTCTCTTTATTTTCTGTTCAGTTGTTCCATACAATTGGTAGTCTCGTTGAAGATATAGGAAAATGTGTGTGGGGGGTGATGTTAAGAGGTGGAAAAGGCATAAAAACAGTGAGAGAAGAAATAAAGAAGTACTTGCTTTCCATTTCTGTACTTAAGAACAAAAAGGGCTGAGTACTCAATTTTCTAACTGAAAGAATCTATGATTAGAGAAACAAAAGTTTGGGAATATTGAAGAATCACCTTTTTTTTCCAGTAAGTATCTAAGATATGACATAAATGACAACTAAAGGATTTTTTTCCTCTATCTAGTTTCACATATATTGTAATTAATGTCAACTCCTCCTAGATTCTGCCACAATGTCCTGTGAAAGTCTGACTTTCCAGGTTGCATATTGTATCTTTCTTGGAAATTTTAGTGAGGAATTTTGAGAAGTTCTAATAGGACTGAGTGGAGGGAATCCTACTCATCAGATGCTATTCTGAACTGTACATCCTTATAGACTGGCAAAAAGAAAACTGTATGGGGAAAAAAAGTTCGTTAAATTAAATGCTTAAATTCTGATCTCTTCTATTAACTACTGGTGTAACCATGGCAGCCACTAACCAGTTTGGCTTCTCAGTTTCCTCATCTGTAAAATAGGAAGGTTAGAGTTCATAATCCCTCACTTTCATTTATATGTAAAATAAGTGATTTGTTATCTTTTTACAGATTGTGTATTATAGAGTCACATTGTCCAGACACAGGAAACACTGATAATAAGGCAAAGATATGGAACTTAATTATTTCTATTCATACTCAGTGAGACCACCTCAATTAGCCAACTTTACTGATTGGGAGAGCTTGCTACTTCTTCCTACTCCAGTTGGGCAAAAGAGAAATGAGTTTGCTATGCGTCATTTAAATTAATTTTTAAGCCTATCGGGCAACTTGCTTATGTGTATGTACATATATATATATGTACATATATATATATGTACATACACATACACACACACATATATACACATCTCTATATATATTTAAAATTCTTGTGCCTCTAAGAGGTTTCTTTTTAACTTGTTTACTTGTTTGTTTTTATGATACAGAGGAAGACAGCATGATTCTTTCAAGATGTTGACATCCTTTTTGTAAGTGGTCATCCATGCTAATGGTCCCTAACAGACACCAGTATGCAGGTGTCTCTGTTTATCCTGGGCAATGAAAGAACTAGAATTAGTGTAATGTTGCAGATCAAATAGTTTTCTTGTTACTTTTGATGGAAAACATCAACAATGTGGTGATGTTATTAAAATTATTAAACATTTGAAATTTTGTACAATTTACATTTATAAGAGGTGACTTTCTTATAAATAAATATCTACTATTAAGAAATAATTTTAACATTTAAATATATTCAGTTTAATGCCCATTTTTCATCTCACATCCAATAACTATATTTTCCTCTGGCTTGAGTAGAGGCTGAGGATAAGCTTTTATGAAAAAGTTTCTGAAGTATTCAAGAAAGTTGATGCCCTGATTTTTTCCTGTTATGATTTTTAGAGAGCAATTATCATTTCAAATCTGAAGGTTTTTTATTATTAGTATAAATAACAATGTTCTAATAAATTCAGGTATTTTTCATTTTAAGTATTTTTTTCCTCAGGTGAGGTAGTTAATACTTTCTCTATATTCTTCAGATTTCAGTCAAGTACAAACTTTTTATTTCCCTAAGAATCATAGACTATATTCATCTTTAAGTCAAACAAAGTCATGGAGAACACATTTTTGAACCTACTTTGGTAATAATTATGCAAATTTTGGATGAAAAAAGAGGTAAGCCACTAATGGCACACACCCGAGTTTGTGTTTAGTTAGAAAAGTAAAACAAAATTTATAAGGTAAAAAGTCGACATCAGCCTAGTTAAGATGTCCTGGGCCAAAAATAAAACCTTAAAGAGGCCTGTACCTTGTTTGCTCAGGACAATGTTCTCAAAGTTTTTGTGGTAAAAAGGAATCTCACAGTATTTGCCCAGCCTTGTGTGCACAGCTCATCATAAAGGCCTTTTTATTACAGCTGGATCTCCCGTACTCTTAGCCACAAGCAGTTGCCTCTATCTGAATAGGGCCCAAAGAGAAGAAAAAAAGTCCCTGAGGGCTTTTGAAAATGAAACTTACACACAATAACTGACCCTATCATATTCAAAATGTGTACATCCCTCAATTCATGTCTAAAAGTCATTATCAGCCAGGTCAATAGAGAACTGACAAAACAAGTAGCAGGTTTCAAAATCATTGTGCAAAGTGAATCCAAGTTACCCAAACGGTTAAATTCACAAACTGGAACTATTCTTTCAAATATTCAAATAGGGGTTTCCTTTAAAGTTAAAAGTCCTTGTGTTTGAACACTGGAGGAAAGTACCCAGCCCTTGGAAATTATAAACAGTAGGCAGAACCCCTAGACGCTACATTTTCAATAAGGAATAATATAGAGCTCACCAAAGAGGCTAGTTATTGAGTACTGACCATGTACCAAATATTGAGCACTTTTAATACTGTGTACAGTCTTCATGGTGCTGCAACAAGGGAGTTATCATTTTGCCATTGTCAAGTGAAATAATAGATGATCTGAGAAGTCATGTGATTTGTCCAGGGTCAAAAGGCTGCATCATGGTTAAAATGAAATCAAAACCTTTCTATTTAAGAAGATAACCATTCTCTTACAAATAAAAATTGTCATATCTAAGACAAAAAATTCTAAGCCAAAGTACTGGACCAGTAAGGACACAACTTAAAAGTAACCTCTTTCATGTAACCAAACCTGCCTGTTTTCCCTCCTTTTTATAGTACTTTGTAACTTTCGAGAACGCGCTTAGCAAATTATTTTTATGCCTAGGCTTAACCTCTTATTTGTATGTTTTTGGGGTTAAATCTTGGTGGAGTCATTTCCCTAAAGCTCTGAGCACAAAGTTCCAGGTTGTTGGAATAATTTCAATAATTATTACAAATGGTAGGGCTCTCTTTGAATTTTTAAATAACTTTATAGATTTGATGGGGGCCAAAAATAACAAATAAACAAAACTGGACCCCAGGCATAGTACTCTGATTTCTCATTCTTATTTCAGCTTCTTCATCACAATGGAATATGGTCAAGAATCTAAATTAATGGAAAATGACATGGGAAGCTTCAGAATACAAGTATAAATCTACTGGCTCTAAAAATATGCTATTTTGGATCCAAATGGCATATTCTATCCTTTCAGCAAGTAAGTAATCAAGATGATTAATATATTGCAAAACCTGAATTTGACACCCCCCTCTCTAACCTTTTTGAGAAGTATTTTATTACTGTGAGATATAGTAGATTGGAAAAATATTTGCAGTATAATTATACACTGGAATGGAGATGAAAGTTTAATGTGATAAACTTTCATAACTTAGTAATTGGAGTATGAAAGATTTAAAATTATTTTTCTGCATTTTCACCCCGCTTATTAAGAACTATTTATTGAACTTTGACAATATGCCAGCAACCATTTAGAGAGAGAACTACTATCTTGCAAATAGAAATCCTACTGTATGGGCCATCCAGCAAACTGTGCTTTGTATGCACCTCCTTCCACTTTTGGAGGCATTGTTACTCAAGTGATTGCTCTCTTTTCTTTTTCTCTCTTTTAGTGTCTCTCTAATAGAATCTTCATTCTACATTTTCACAGGCTTTGAGCTGTTGAAATGCTCAAAACACTCCCATCTTCACAAGCACACACGTGCACACACATGCACAGTCTTCACTTTGAAGATAGCTGTGTTCCCTCACAGCCGTCTTCCTGAACAACTCATTTATGTTCACTCATCATCACCAGGTCCTCACCTCCAACTCACTCTTCATTCCACTCCAATCTGACTTCCACCCACGTGATTCTGACAAAATGGACCTTACCAAAGCCACCATAGTTCTTCATTAATCCAAATCCAATGGACATAGCAACTTCTCATTGTGCTTGACTTCTCAGCAGAATTTGACATTGCTGACTACTCCATCCTTCTTGAAAACTCTTTCCTTGGTTTCTTTTCTCCCTAACCCTCCCATGGCTTCTTCAATGTAATTATTGCAAGCTCATTCTCTTTTATGTGATATTTAAGTACCAGATATCTTAAGGCTTAGTCTTATACTTTTCTTTTATCACATTTTCTGTCTTGATAATCTTATGTCATTTTAAATTGCCATCTATATGTTATTTTTGATGTATATTAAACTGCATATCTTTAAAGTGTACCTTTTTATAAGTTTGACATACATATACACCTGTGAAACCATCAACAAAATCAAGATAATAAACATATCCAACACCACCAAAAGATAAGTAACCCACATTTTAATCTCTTCCCATGGAACCTCTACCTTTCCCAGGCAACCACTGATCTGCTTTATGTCACTGTAAATTAATTTGCATTTTTAAGAGTTTTATATAAATAGAAGCATATAGTATGATTCTTTTAGTCTGCCTTACTTATTTTCTGATTCACCCATGTTTTAGCATGACATTACTTTTTATTGCTGAGTAGTATTCTATTGAATGGATATCCTAAAATTGATTTAAGCATTATCTGGTGATAGATATTTGTGTTATTTTTAAGATCTTGGCCTACAATGAAGCCACTATGAACATCTGTACAAATTTTGTGTGAACATAAACTTCCTTTGCTCTTGGGTAAATATCTAAAGGTGGAGTAGCTGGATCATAGGGTAGGCATATATTTACAGTTTTTACTTATTTTAGTTTTTACAAAACTGTCACACTATTCTTAAGTGGTTGTCCTTTTTACCTTCCCACGATAAGCATGTGAGAGTTGTAGCTCCTTTATGTCCTCACTAACACCTGGGATGGTCAGTCTTTTAATTTAGCTATTCTAATTAGTATGTATCACACACAATTCTAGTTTGCATTTCTCTAATGACTGAAGATGTTGAACATCTTTTGTGCTTATTTGCTGTCTATATACCATTTTTGTTGAAGTGTCAGTTCAAAATTTTAGATTATTTATAAAAATTCGATTGTGTGCTGTTTCATTATTAAGTTTTGAGAATTTTTTTCATATTCTGATTACAGGCCATTTATCAGATATATTCTTTGAAAATATTTTCTCCAACTCTGTGGCTTGCTTTCAGTTTCTAAGATTGTCTTTTAAAGAACAGATGTTCATAATTTTAAAAAGCGTTTATTGTTTCCTGTTATGCATTGTATTTTTTGGTGTTATAAAGATCATAAAGATATTCTCTTGTGTTTTCTTCTAGGAGTTTTATAGTTTCAGGTTGATCCATTTTGAATTAATTTTTGGTTATGATATAGGGTACAAATTGAAGTTCTTTGTTTTTCTATATGGATGTCCAATTGTTTCAGCACCACTACTGAAAAAATGTGCTGATTTGTCTTTGTAATTTTCTTAAAAATTAGTTGAGCATATATATGTGAATCTCTTTCTGGATTTCTATGTTATTTCCTTGATATAGTTATCTGTTTTGATAATAATACCATATTATTTGGTTATAACTATAACAAATTTTAAAATGGGGCAACATAAGCTTTCCAAATTTTTTGTTCTTTTAAAAAGTTGTTTTAACTTTCCTGGATCTTCGGCATTTCCATATGTTAAAATCAGCTTGCAAAGTTTCTACAAAAAAGTCTGCTAGGGTTTTTGATTGGGGTTACTTTGAATCTGAAGAATCTTTAGATTAGTTGTTATTTCCATGTGCTAGCAATGAACAATTAGAAATTGAATTGCACAGAACAATACCGTTTATAACAGCAACAAAAATATGCATTCAGGAAAATTCTGACAAAGACTGGCATGATTTGCGCACTGACAGTCACAAAATATTTTTGAAAAATTTAAAGAAGACCTATATAAAATGTAAAGGCAT